GATCATTTTTAATTGGTTGCCTGGTGATTTGTGCTGTTTTACAAATCGCTATAGCCGGCAATGAAAATGAGGATTTTGCTACGTATGAGGAAGTAAAGGATATACCAAATCATCCTGAAAAATTCTTAATTGAAGTGAGAAGTAAGGAGCTGGTAGAAAAGGATGGTTCTATACCCGGCAGTATTAATATACCATGTAAGTAGTAGTAGTAGTTTTAAGGTATGTTCACACCTGTAAAATATTTGACGAAAAATAATTAACTCTCATGTTTCTTTGATCTTGCATGATTCTTATAATTTCAAATAATGTCGAAACAAATAATGAAGACATTCTAAAGTGATTTATTCTAAAGATATATTTTTTGTAAATAAATATAAAGTTAAAGTGGTCACGTTATTTTCTTTAAATATTTGAAAGGTGTGAACTTAATAGGTTTAGTTTATAAGCGAAATAAATAATTACATTTTAGTCACCGAATTGGAGGAGGCTTTAATGATGGATGATGGTGAATTTGCTTCAAAATATGGTGCTGAAAAACCACCCAAAGATGCTGTTGTCATATTTACTTGTCTAGGCGGTCAATATGCTCAAATGGGTGCCGATTTGGCTAAAAAGAATGGTTGGCAAAGGTAAGCTATAAATTTAAAAGTTCATAATATAATGGGGACCAATATGGGCAGATAATTCCAAATTCTCAATAACTTTTATCCAGAAGTTAATCTGTGCAATACTGATAGTGAAACAGAAAATAGACGATTCAGTGGGTTTTTTCGGTTTTACATCTAGAGATCCTTTGGGAACCTATTTATTTAGTTTCATAAGACATCTGAGGCTTTTAGAAAATTAATTTTAATCTATTAAAACCCAGTCTATATACTAATCAATAGTAAACTGAATATACTAATCTGTATACAAATCAGTAGACCTAAGGATTGGACCAATCAATTGCATAATTCATAGTTTAGACTAGACAATAGACTAGTCCGTAAACAAGTCAGAAGTCTATAGACTAGTCAACAGAATAGTCCATGGACTAGACTATATTCTTGCCTGAAGACATGACTATAGACATTTGTAGATAAAGCTATAGAAATTTGTGTAGTCAAGTCATAAGAATAATTCATGGGCTAGCCCATAGACTGGTCAACAGACACAATTCTAACCAAAGGATCCAATAAAAAATAACTATATAAATAATGTAAATAAATATTACAAAAAAATTCTAACAAAATTTCATTAAAATTTAATTTTCAGAGCTAAACCCTATTTAGGATCATGGTTGGAATGGTCTAAAGAGAAGGATTACAATAAGCTTGAATTTTTGGAATATAGCAATCATCTAACGAAGAATGAACCAGAAACGTTAAAAATATGTAATAGATGAAATTTTAAATACCTATGATTTAATCAATTATTAAATTAAGAGCAATTACAATAAAAAAATGATATGAGCATTTTAATTTATTATTTTTAATGATCGAAAGAACATTTTTAAACTCTGATATATGGACAGTTTTCTACAATAGGTGCACGTTATCATTTAGTGGGTTTGGATGGTTTATAACTTTTCATTTATCAACAAAGTCGAATAAAGTAAAATATACTCTTATTAGTTTTATTCTCTTTTCTTAACATGTATGTGTGTATTTTGTATCTCTAAAATGCCTCTCACACTATCTCTTTAATTATTAAAGTTTCATACGTATCTAATTAGTAAACAAAAATAAAATATAGTTAGCGTCAGGCATGGAAAATTGAAATTTGAAATAAGAATGAGTACTTTTTTGGTTTTAAAATACTAAAACTAATTCTCTGCTAGACTATAGACCTGACATTAAACCAGACTATAGACGAGACCTTAAACCAGATTATAGACTAGACTATTGACCAAAACTAAGACTGGACTACACTAAAGACAAGACTATAAACGAAACTATAGACTAGACTTTAGACTACACCATAGACTAGGCTATAGACTAGACTATAGACTAGACTATAGACTAGACTATAGACTAGACTATAAACTAGACCTATAGACTAGACTATAGGACTAGACTATAGACTAGACTATAGACTAGACTATAGACTAGACTATAGACTAGACTATAGACTAGAACTATAGACTAGACTATAGGCTAGACTATAGACTAGACTATATACTAGACTATAGACTAGACTATAGACTAGACTATAGACTAGACTAAGACTATACTATAGACTAGACTATAGACTAGACTATAGACTATACTATAGATCTATAGACTATACTATAGACTAGACTATAGACTAGACTATAGACTAGACTATAGACTATACTATAGACTAGACTATAGACTAGACTATAGACTAGACTATAGACTATAGACTAGACTATAGACTAGACTATAGACTAGACTATAGACTAGACTATAGACTAGACTATAGACTAGACTATAGACTAGACTATAGACTAGACTATAGACTAGACTATAGAGACTATAGACTAGACTATAGACTAGACTATAGACTAGACTATAGACTAGACTATAGACTAGACTATAGACTAGACTATAGACTAGACTATAGACTAGACTATAGACTAGACTATAGACTAGACTATAGACTAGACTATAGACTAGACTATAGACTAGACTATAGACTACTAGACTATAGACTAGACTATAGACTAGACTATAGACTAGACTATAGACTAGACTATAGACTAGACTATAGACTAGACTATAGACTAGACTATAGACTAGACTAGCGTCAGGCATGGAAAATTGAAATTTTGAAACAAGAATGAATACTTTTTTGGGTTTTAAAACTAAACTAATTCTCTGCTAGACTATAGACCTGACATTAAACCAGACTATAGACGAGACCTTAAACCAGATTATAGACTAGACTATTGACCAAACTATAGACTGGACTACACTAAAGACAAGACTATAAACGAAACTATAGACTAGACTTTAGACTACACCATAGACTAGGCTATAGGCTAGACTATAGACTAGACTATAGACTAGACTATAAGCTAGACTATAGACTAGACTATAGACTAGACTATAGACTAGACTATAGACTAGACTATAGACTAGACTAGACTATAGACTAGACTATAGACTAGACTATAGACTAGACTATAGACTAGACTATAGACTAGACTATAGACTAGACTATAGACTAGACTATAGACTAGACTACAGACTAGACTATAGACTAGACTATAGACTAGACTATAGACTAGACTATAGACTAGACTATAGACTAGACTATAGACTAGACTATAGACTAGACTATAGACTAGACTATAGACTAGACTAGACTATAGACTAGACTAGACTATAGACTAGACTATAGACTAGACTATAGACTAGACTATAGACTAGACTATAGACTAGACTATAGACTAGACTATAGACTAGACTATAGACTAGACTATAGACTAGACTATAGACTAGACTATAGACTAGACTATAGACTAGACTATAGACTAGACTATAGACTAGACTATAGACTAGACTATAGACTAGACTATAGACTAGACTATAGACTAGACTATAGACCAGACTATAGACTAGACTATAGACTAGACTATAGACTAGACTATAGACTAGACTATAGACTACACTATAGACTATACTATAGACTAGACTATATACTAGACTATAGACTAGACTATAGACTAGACTATAGACTAGACTATAGACTAGACTATAGACTAGACTATAGACTAGACTATAGACTAGGCTATAGACTAGACTATAGACTAGACTATAGACTAGACTATAGACTAGACTATAGACTAGACTATAGACTAGACTATAGACTAGACTATAGACTAGACTAGACTAGACTATAGACTAGACTATAGACTAGACTATAGACTAGACTATAGACTAGACTATAGACTAGACTATAGACTAGACTATAGACTAGACTATAGACTAGACTATAGACTAGACTATAGACTAGACTATAGACTAGACTATAGACTAGACTATAGACTAGACTATAGACTAGACTATAGACTAGACTATAGACTAGACTATAGACTAGACTATAGACTAGACTATAGATAGACTAGACTATAGACTAGACTATATACTAGACTATAGACTAGACTATAGACTAGACTATAGACTAGACTATAGACTAGACTATAGACTAGACTATAGACTAGACTATAGACTAGACTATAGACTAGACTATAGACTAGACTATAGACTACACTATAGACTAGACTATAGACTAGACTATAGACTAGACTATAGACTAGACTATAGACTAGACTATAGACTAGACTATAGACTAGACTATAGACTAGACTATAGACTAGACTATAGACTAGACTATAGACTAGACTATAGACTAGACTATAGACTAGACTATAGACTAGACTATAGACTAGACTATAGACTAGACTATAGACTAGACTATAGACTAGACTATAGACTAGACTATAGACTAGACTATAGACTAGACTATAGACTAGACTATAGACTAGACTATAGACTAGACTATAGACTAGACTATAGACTAGACTATAGACTAGACTATAGACTAGACTATAGACTAGACTATAGACTAGACTATAGATAGACTATAGATAGACTATAGATAGACTATAGATTAGACTATAGACTAGACTATAGACTAGACTATAGACTAGACTATAGACTAGACTATAGACTAGACTATAGACGACTATAGACTAGACTATAGACTAGACTATAGACTAGACTATAGACTAGACTATGACTAGACTATAGACTAGACTATAGACTAGACTATAGACTAGACTATAGACTAGACTATAGACTAGACTAGACTAGACTATAGACTAGTCTATAGACTAGACTATAGATTAGACTATAGACTAGACTAAAGAATAGACTATAGACTAGACTAAAGAATAGACTATAGACTAGACTAAAGACTGGACTATATTTGACTACATATAGTAAAGGTTTCTTTCTTATTTAATATGTTTTCTTTGTTTTTCATCTTTCAGCCATGGACGACGAACAGCTAGTACGCGATGTCGAATCGCGCATACCCTCACTCCCCATCGCTTACTGGAGTAAGAATAAAAATTTCCTACAACAAAAATCTTCAACATGTGCCAAATATCCCTCCATCTTTGAGCTGGAATTCAATAATATTTATTGGCAAACTATGCGTACCTCAAATGGTACGTTCCAGCTTTTTGGAGCCTACTATGATATACGTAAAAATTCCCTATTAGGGCCCTCAGTACGTATTTTGGGAATGATTGACCGCATTGAACCTAAAGTCAAGACTTATTGTCAATTTTGGTTTGATGGTCAAAAGGAACCGTTCATAGTAAAGACTTATGAGTATAAATATATTTGGTACAATAATGGGGTAATTATAAGCAGGGCATTTACCAGCCCTATTTGATCGCCTGTCAAATACCCAAACCCTTTCATGGCGTAGTGCCCAGTTCGGTGTCGATGGTAGAGAAAGAATGTGATACCGCCACTAATAATTTGAGAGTCATCTATAACCGTCCCCCTGATGACCAAAAGAAAGGATTTGCCGTCTGTGTTAAGGGTTTGGATTTCTTGTATGATGATTTGTCTGTACGTTTGATAGAATGGATTGAAATGTTAAATATTTTGGGTGCCGATAAGATCTATTTCTATAATTTACAAGTTCATCCTAATATCTCAAAGGTGTTGCATCATTATGAACAGGAGGGTAAGGTACAAGTTATACCTTTGACTTTACCCGGAGGACAACCCAATGTGCCGGGTTTTCAACATTTATATTTGACCAAGAAAACGAATCATAAACGCCAAAATGAGGTTATACCCTACAATGATTGTTTGTACAAAAACTTATACCTCTACGATTATATAGCACTACTCGATATAGACGAAGTTATCATGCCTAAAGGTAATTTCGTTTTATGGTCCGAACTTATGGCCAAAGTAGTGCCCGAATCTTTAAAGGCCCGCCCCGAGGGTTATCACAGTTTCAACTTCCGCAATGTGTACTTTTTGGATGATCAACAGCATGAACATGGTTGGCATAAGGATATACCCAAATATATGCATATGTTGCAGCATGTACATCGGGCCAAAAACTATACGAAACCCAATCAATATGTCAAATGTTTCCATAATCCCGAAAAGGTATTAACCCTACACAATCACTTCCCTTTGGCCTGTTTGGGTGGTGTTTGCAAATCATATCCTGTGGATATACAAGATGCCCATCTTCAGCATTATAGAGCTGATTGTGTTAATACTTTGAAAAAATCCTGTGAGGAATATAGAGAAAACTCGGTGGAAGATAAAACCATATGGAAGTATAAAGATGAGCTAATAAGACGTTCGG